GGCCTCGTCCAACAGCCAGCCCGGTCGCAAGAAGGTTCCAGAAAACAACGCGCAGAACTTTCCTCCGTTATCACCGGTCCAATCACGGCCAATTCCAGTGTTGCCGCCGCTCCCGCTCAACCAACAGTTGGCTGTCGCTGCAGTACCCGGTCAAGCCTCCGGGCCATCGACGGATCCCCCTGCTCTGGGATTGGCCGGTACAACCGGTGAAGCTACAGACGATTCTCCGCTGTCAACGGATGAGATCGTCACACTGTTGGCCCAGGCCATCATCATCAAGCGCACCTGCGCAAAAAGAACACAACAGCTCCAAGCTATCATCTCCTTCGTCGCTAATTATGGACCGTGAACCCATAAAGATCGCCAACTGGAACGCTCGCTCCGTAGGGGCGAAAAACATTGAGCTTGCAGACTTCCTCCGCAAGCACGACATCGACGTGGGCCTTCTCACCGAGACCCACCTCAAGACCGGTGACAGCTTCTGGCTGCCCGACCACAGCATTGTCCGGCTTGATCGCACCAGCTCCAGGGGGGGCGGTGTCGCGGTCATCATCAAGAAAGGCATCAAGTACTGCACCCTACCCCACTACCGCACTTCCATCATCGAGGCCGTCGGCGTTGAGGTGGAAACATCGACCGGAAACGTCCGGTTCATCGTTGTCTACTGCCCCCGGCAATGTACCGTTAGCAATGGTACAGCACAGCAGTTCAAGAACGACCTTGCCATCATAACCCACACCAATGCCCGCTTTGTAATCGGAGGGGACCTGAACGCCCGGCACGAGGCCTGGCGGAACTACCAGCAGAACCAGAACGGCCGCCTGCTATTCGACCATTCCCAGCATGGTCTCTATTCCGTCTGGTTTCCGGACGAACCAACCTTCACATCACCGACGGGCAACCCATCGACGCTGGACCTGTTCTTGGCAAACACCAGATTAGCTAAGCCGGTTGCCGTCAACGACCTGAGTTCGGACCACCAACCGGTGCTGACCGAGCTGGGCTACAACGTGGCCCCTGCACCGTGCCAGCGGAAGGACTACCATCGAGTCAACTGGGTCCAGTTTCGACGCGTGGTCGACCGCCACATCGACGACAACCCACCGCTCGACACAGTGGAGGACATCGACCGGGCCCTGGAGGGTCTCCATCAAGCCATATCCGTGGCTGACGAAGAGTGCGTTCGACGAGTTCCTGTGAGGGGTAAGTTTCAAGCAATTGATTCCCACACCAAACTTTTGATTCGGCTCAGAAATGTTCGTAGACGCCAGTTTCAGCGGACTGGGGATCTGCAGCGTAAATACGAAATGGTCGATCTGAATCGGCAGATCGCTTCCAGAATGGTCTCAATCCGGAACGAGAGTTTCGGGCGGCTCGTTCAGAACCTGGACGACCGTTCCAGACCATTCTGGAAGGTTGCCAAGGTGCTAAAGTCTCACCCCAAGCCCATTCCACCACTTAGAGTCAATGACGAACGGCTTATCACCAACGAAGAGAAGGCCAATGCAATTGGGGAGCACATTGCCCAGTCGCATTTGCTTGGCTCTACAATCCCAAGTCCACTCGAGAACCAGGTTGTGCAGTGCGTCCAGACGTTAGATGCCTCCCCTTGTGCCGTCCCTCCAGAAGAACGGATTACAGAGGAACAAATTTGCTCAGCGCTGAAACACAGTACGAACATGAAGGCTCCCGGGTTTGACGGAATATTCAACCTAGAGTTGAAAAATCTCAGCGCGAGGGTGCACTCGCTGCTGGCTGCCATCCTCAACAGATGCTTGGAGCTGCACTACTTTCCAAGCATCTGGAAGGTGGCAAAAATCATCCCGATCCGCAAACCTGGGAAAGACCCTTCACTACCGTCAAGCTACAGACCGATTAGCCTGCTCTCAGCGCTGAGCAAGCTGTTCGAAAAATTGATCCTCAGCCGACTAAACAAGTTTGTGGAGGAACATGACATTCTTCTTCCGGAACAGTTCGGGTTCCGTAAGGGGCATTCCACCAATCATCAGCTAGTGCGGGTGATGAATAACATCCGGAGTAACAAAGCTGTATCCAAGTCCACAGCCATGGCCTTGTTAGACGTCGAAAAGGCGTTTGACAATATCTGGCACGACGGACTTATATACAAGCTTTGTAACTCCAACTTTCCACCATACCTTGTGAAAATCACCCGTAACTATCTCCAGCAAAGGTCGTTCAGGGTGTCGTTGAATAGTTCCCTTTCGGGACAATTTCCGATCCCAGCAGGTGTTCCGCAAGGGAGTCTGCTGGGACCACTGCTTTACAGCATCTACACGTCGGACATCCCTCCTCTAGGAGACGGTTGCGTGTTCTTTCTGTTTGCAGATGACACCGCGATAGCCGTCAAGGGTAGGATGCCTCGTGAAATTACGAACAAGCTCCAACGATGCCTTGACACCTTTACTGATTATGCCACCACGTGGAAAATCAAAATCAACGCCTCGAAAACCCAAGCGATCATGTTCCTTCACAGACAATCGCCAAAACTTAAACCGTCTCCCTCCTGTACCGTAATAATGGATGGTACAAGGGTCGAGTGGTCCACTGATGTTACTTATCTCGGGATGTTGTTCGATGAGAAGCTCCTGTTCCGCTCGCACATAGAGAAAACCCTAGTTAAGTGCTCCGCCTTGGTTAGGTGTTTGTATCCGCTCATTTGCCGCAGATCCCGCCTCTCAAGGCAAAACAAACTGGCTGTTTACAAACAGATCATAGCCCCCGCGATCTTCTATGCCGCCCCGGTGTGGGAATCGTGCGCTCAGACCCACAGGAACAAAATCCAGGTTGCACAGAATAGAGTGTTGAGGATGATCCTAGATCGTCCATTCGACACAAGAATAGCAGACCTCCATCAAGAGGCAGACATTCCCAAAGTAGATTCCAAAATTGATGATATGACAACTAAATTTATTCAAAAATGCAATCTTTCTGAACATGCTTTAATAAGCAATTTGTACATAGTAGGTTAAGTGTATATAGTAGAGTAGGTTAGTTTTAAGCTGTCAATAGTAGTATTAAGTAGTTTCTCTTCAAATTCTAAAAACAAAACAAACCAATCCCACCAAGGTGGTCGACCGTGTACTAAGTCTAGGACTAATTCTGTAAAACAAATTTTGAATTTTGCCCATACCTAAAGATGAAGAAAGCAATTAAATCACTTAGTAAAAATTTATATGGTAATCGTCCAAGTTAAACTAAAATAAAGATCATTTAAACTGGTAAAAATTCGGACTGCCTAACATGATTGGTGCTCATTTTCCAAAGGCGGGGCCAATCTAAAGTTAGATACTATACTCTGAAATCTGTGAAAGGGAATCTAGTATCATGTAGATCAAATCGTCCAATGTAACACTCATTGATTATGTCATTGAGACAAATCATCCAATGTAACATGTCCGATGTACAACTCGACTTGTCAAAACGTCCTATGATGATGTAACTTATTATTATTATTATTATCTCTATTTGATGATGTAACTTCCAATCGAAATAATTCAATGATTTAGGTGAATTCAAAGGTAATCTGATGAAAATTCCAAGGGAGTTCTGACTAGACTTCCAGGCAGGGCTGTCATCTGATCACTCAATGTGCGCAATGTACTCCCCCTTCTTGTTTCTGTAGATGAGTCAAAAGTACCCATTTGTGTTTTGCTTCATGGGGCTACCTGGCATTAAACCAATTAAATGCTATTAAAATCCTAAATAATTGAAACACGTCATACTCTTTATTGTATATAATCACAATAATTATAATATATCCGAGTTCCGAGGCATAAAGTTGTCCTAGAGAAAGAACACTTTTAGAACTCGATCCAGTTCACTGCTGGTTGGTCCGCAAGAGATGCTGCTCATCGGTCGGCTCATCGCACAGGTCCGCTTTTCCCTTTTTAGCCTGAAACGGACCACATTTTCAAAATACGTGTCATAACTTTCATCATGATTGCACTTCTAATTGTTACCTCATAACAACCAGTTCCAAATTCCTATAGCGACGATTTTTGAAATGGTTTCGGTGAGTATTGTCTCGAATGAAACAGACAATACTCGCTTCGTGAATGATCACAACGCTCACTTACTAAAAAAAAGTTAAACACTTTGGGTCTTCACTTCGTCAGAGATGTGTTGACGTTGATTGAAAGCATGTTTGTACCCATTCTTTTTGCAGAAGACATTTACTCAAATGGGGAAAAAGTACCCGCTTTTCGTTTTTTGAAAGTACCAATTTTTTGACAGATTTGAATAACTTCAAAAAATGAGTACAAGATACTCATTTAATGCATACTTCCGAGTTGTAGGTTCAGTTTTGACCGATGTGGGTGGATTCTACCCAAATTTGGGTAGTTTTGAAATATTATATACGCTTTCCGAAATTTCCTCCATACGAATGAGTAGAAGTGATTCACTCTCTGAGGAGGTTTCATTTGCAGTGTACTGCATGCGAAAGGGAGAGTGAGTAAGAAGTGAAACGCCTTTGGTTATGCATTTGCTTTGACGCTTAACATTTATTTTTCGATATCTTTCACATAGGCTACGCTAAAGTAATCTAAACAAACTAAAAGAGAACTAAACCTAGTTGAATTTCGATGTGATAAATTTTTGTCATGGATAAAATGAAACAATGATTTATTATTTTTATTTTGTGCCATCTGATCAACAAAATGAACCTTATAACAATATGTGAAATATTTTTTTTTGATTTGCTTTTGCTTATTTTTTGCGCTTAATCTGAGTAACAACAAGTTGGCTAGTAAAATACTTCCTCTAAAATACATCATGCTTCTGCTGCGGCTCTAAAATCGTATTTTGTTTATCTAAGAAAAAAATGTCCCTTGTATGTGTAAAATTGTTGGCAATTTCCGTTGTGAGTATGATTGTTTTCACATATAGTTATTTCTACCATCAGAGCTTGGCCCCTCGAAGATTGGTTCTATCATGTTTCGCGCGGTTTACTCACTCACTCCTATCTCACTAGCTTACGATTTTGTTTTTTTTTTCACAACATCAACAGTTAACATTTTCACGGAAACAACATTTTTACTGGTCTTTCGACTTGGGTTTGTTTTTCGTTTGTTTCTGATTTAGACACTCATAGTGATTATTATGTAAAACGATCAAAATTCCCTAAAATTATTGTTTTTCGTTTACGATTCCGGCATCGGACGCATCATCTTCCCTCACTGCTCACTTGTTGTTACACAGCGTGAGAAACTCCTCGCGGGTCTTCGGGTCGTCCCGGAAGACGCCCAACATCGTCGAGGTGACGGTTTTGCTGTTGATCTTCTGCACGCCTCGCATGACCATGCACATGTGCCTGAATTGAAATGATTCTTTAGTTTAGGTGCTGTGAAATGCATTTTGGGTGAAGACTACTTACACTCCTTCAATGATGACGGCAACGCCGGCCGGTTGAACGGCTTGGGTAACGGCCACGGCAATCTGTTTGGTCAAACGTTCCTGAACCTGCAGCCGGCGGGAGAAGATTTCCACAATTCTGGCGGGGAAGAAGAATGCAAAGGGTTATTTCTTTTGGAGGACTTTCCTTTATTGGATTTACCTAGTGAGAACATGATTTTTCCCATCACTGCTTCGCAGGCAGTGAAGGTTTAGATTGGTTTGAGTGGGAAGAGGAGAAGGAGAGTTACTTGGATTGTCGAAGCTTGTTAGTCGGGTTGGTTTTCAAAGATGGCGGATTGTCTGCATCACTTCGAAACTTTAAGAACTTACTGAGATGATTTATTTTTTCTCATTGTGTGTGAGCAAACAGATAAGCCTTACGAGTGACGAGTTTTGCGCTCGGATTTACATTTAATACGAAAAAAAAAAATCAACAACTCACCTGGCCAGCTTGCTCAGCCCGAGAATCTTCTTGCAGGGTATGTATCCGATGGAAACCTTGCCGTAGAACGGCACCAGGTGATGCTCGCACATGGAAAACATTTCGATGTCCTTCACCAGCACCATTTCGTCGTGGTCCTCATCGAAGACGGCACCGTTGAGAGCCTCTGAAAGTTTGGCAGAGCAGAAGGGAAGGGAACTTGTTTATCGAAGCTGTTTCTGTGTTTGTTAGACTGGACACCGATAGGGGGATGCGAGGGAGGGAGAAACGAACAAGTTAAATAGCGGAGACAATGGTCTTGCTTGAACTTTGGGGCAGAGCTTCTGCTAGGAACAGGAAGTTCAATAATTGTCGTACACACAAACACACACGTACAGACTCTAGATGATGATGATGCAACATTATCACTAGGAAGCGGTGATTGTTTGAAGTGAGTTACTCATCCTCTTGGAAGGCAGTTGGTTTGATGAATGTCAACATGGAGAATGGAACGACTCTATAGACTGCAGAAACTCAATCAACGAAGGTGAAGGTGGTTTTCATTGCACATCCATGCTCGCTTGGCAATCTGTTTGTAGTAGGTATTGTTTGACTGTGGAAGAGTGCACTGTGCAGATTGTCTCCTGTTTGAGAGTGAGTTGTGTTTATTGATTTTCATCACCTTTGTGAGGTTCTCAGTGGCATTTGGGGGAGCTGACACGGAATCGTTTTCCTCTGAAGATGACAATTGAATTATAAACTACTTAATGCATTTTAGATCGTACTGTTGTCGAGTCAGTTGAAAAAATAAATCTGCTTGCAATAATTTTTGAAGTGGCAATTGAAAGCAGCTTTTGTCCGGGAGTTAGAATGTGATAGCTCTACTACAGATTCGGCAACCAGTTTCAGGATGCTTGGTAATTCACGTCTATTTCGAGTGACCTCGGAATATGGCATAAAATTAGCTAGTAAACACTACCGTTATCATATGGATAATGGTATTAGAAATTATAATCGGCACAGCTTGGGCACATCCATCGGTACACCTTCGATATACCTTCGGCAAAATCTTGTAGGCATTGAATTGTTGTAAATAAAATGGGAGCACTGCTGGACAACTGTCGTTGAAATTGTTCACTACATTACGTGCTGTTTGCCTGTATTTTCAGGAACATCCTCTAATTGAGTATACCAGAGGAACTCAGACCTGTAGTTCACTTATACAGCCATCCCCCGAAGAACGAGCTTCCCACTGAGTTGCACCCACCGCTTTTTATCGGCGGTTTTTCAACCGGTTGGTCCGATTTTTTGCATGTGAGTAGTGCCAATGGAGAACTAGTTACTCGCAGAAAATAAGAGCGCTTGGTTGAAAACCCACCGAGACAAAGCGGTGGGTGAAACTCAGTGGGTAATGCGTTCTTCAGGGGAACGCTGTAGATCTAAATATGAAATGTAGGTTCTAGAGTGGGCTCAAGAGAAAGAGGCAGTTAGTACCGCATTAGTACCCTTAATTCAAATAATGCTGCAACTCACACAAAACAAACTAAAGCAGTCTATTCATCATACTCTATAGTCGGTCTCGAACAAAACTCCCCACCGGTTCCAACTCTTTCTGGCCCCTTGCTTTTCACATCACGAAAAGCTAGGTTTTTGGTCTACCTTTGAGGGCATTATAAAACACTCAAACACAGGACTCTTATTACCCTATGGAACACAAATCACCGAAATTTCGCTCACCCTCTACTTCCCGCGTCATCCTTAATCCAATTTATCCTTGCGATTTCAATCCAAAACATTCAAGGTGTCAGAAATACCGGGTTGCCGGGATGGGTATTTTACCAACAATCGCAGCTTGCTCTATGACCGGCACAATCGACACGCCTGCTGCACACTTGAGGCACACTGACAAAAAAGATGACCCAAGATTGGTGCGCGGAGTGACCTACCCCTTGGCATTAGGTCTGTTTCCGTATGCTCTATAAAGTATAAAAAAAAATACATTTCTGTAAGATTCTGTACAGCAAAAAGCATAATGGCCCAAGTGCAATGACAGCGGCAGCGGAAAAGCCCGATCTGAGTAAGCCTACTTGTCGGATTAACTAGTTAGAACCAAATTGACATGGGTCAAGCTTCTTGACGTAATTTGTGACAACTGTCAAACTTTCCGTTTCAATTCCACTTCCGTCCACATTGTGTTTGGGCCTTAAGTATATTCCCGTACTTTCTGTATCATGCGATTTTCTTACAGCAACTTACAGCAAAAGCAAAAAAAGCAAGTACGGCAACAACTGGCAACAGTTATGGTCCAAGCGTAATAAGGTTTTGCACCACCGGGGTTAACTAAAGCCCTCTAGTTAAAGTATGGACGACTGTCACGACAAAACTGAAAAAAGCTGTTCCAATCAAGCAAAGCGGATCATTTTGACGTTTCGATTGGAACAACTTTTGACAGACGTCCATACTTTTACTGTAGGGCTTTAGGGTTAACCTCAATCGGATGACAGTTCTCACGCAACACGAGAAAAGGACCTATCATTGTTGATCGATTCTCTTCATCGATTTTCTCTTTCGTGAATAACCCGACTGCAGATGGATTTCCCCTTCAGGGTGTTGTTTCAAGCGCAAGCTAACATCATCTTCTGTCGAACTGTGCTGCGAGCTTAGTGAGGAATTCGTTTATGTTGCCGTGGTAAACCAAAGAGAAAGTCGATGAAGAGAATCGATCAACGAAGATAGGCCCTTTTAAAATGTTACGCGAGAGTTCAGTGGTCCTGTATACGTGGACTTAGGCCGAGGCCAGGGTAGACGCGACGCGATGCGACTCACGCAAGAAATAATAATAAATAATAAGATTCTTTTGAATTGGTCGCGTCGCGTCGCGAATCGCGTCTACCCTGGCCGTACCCTTAGGCTGTGAACCATTTGCCGAGTTAAATTTAACTCGTGGTTAAAAGTGACATTTCGAAAGTTATTTTCTATGTTCGAAAATCCCTGTGCTGTCGATCGACCGGTTTTCGAGAAGAACTTAGCCAGGGTTGTCAAAATTTAACATCTTGTCTGTCAGAAGAAACCACGCTCGGATAGCAGGGTTAATCAATAACTTTCCATCTGTCAAATTTTAACCAAAAGTTAAAATAATCCACCAATGGTTCAGAGCCTTAAAGGATGTTTTCTTGGGTATATTTTCTCGATAATTTTGCAGACTGCAGAGAAATGTAAACCACACTTCTGCAATATCCGTGAGCAACATCCTTTCCCAACGCATTTCCTCTACAAGTTTCAAATTAAAATTCGAAAACTTATTTTTTTTTTGAATAAACTTCTAAGTGCTTGTAAGCAGTGCCACCATAGAGGTGGTACTCTAAGACCAGAAGCTCCCGAAGAAACGAGCTCAACTTTTTGCTTCAGCTCTGGTACTATCTTCGGTCCCAAGCGAATCGATGCACCCCTCGAAACAAAGAAAAATCCACGAACCCCTCATTTTATCTGTCAAACTTTCATAGCGAATCAAAACAAACATAGTGTAGTACTGGAATTTATACTAGAATGGGATACGTTAATCGATTTGCTTGGGACCAATAGGATAGTCAAGTAGTGAGCTAATTTAAAATCTTTAGTTTCGTATTGATTGTTGGTACCACTGAACTGTTAAAAAGTGTTCATCCGATGAACACTGAGTTCTTTTGTGACGTCACGCTGCAGTACCTGCTGGACGAGTGCATCGATGAATTTGAGTTCATGCACTGACGCAAATTTCACAGGAGAGCGGGTTTACTAAAAATGAACACTAAATCTCGATTACTTTTTCGAAGGGACGTATCTGCTTTTGTAAACAATGCATTTGATCGCCGATTTGGCGTAACTGGTAGCTCGCCCACGCATGTTAACACTACCATCGGATAGGGGAAATTTCCCCCTACCTGATGGTGGTGTTAGTTTGCGTGGGCGAGCTACCAGTTACACCAATCAATGATCAAATGCATTGTTTACAAAATCAGATACGTCCCTTCGAAAGAGTAATCGAGAAATGTTCATTATTCATGAACATTGCCCCGCTCTCCTGTCAAATTTCCATCAGTGCATGAACTCAAATCCATCGGTGCAGTCGTCTATGATAGCAGAAGCGGAATGGCGAAGGTAGCGGAAAAGTCCGATCTGAGTAAGCCTACTTGTCGGATTGAAAACTAGTTAAAACCAAATCGAAGACGGTTAAGCAACTTGATGTCATTTGTAGCAACTGTCAAATTTTCCGTTTCCGTTCCACTACCGTATGACGAAGTATGAAAGATTATCTAAACTTAGGCCTGTTTCGTAAGCGTTCAGGATACGGCTCCATTCATCTCGTCGGCTCCTTCTCCACTCGCAAAGGAAGTTCCTCATCATCCTCCTTTGGTTATTACTGTTGAAGACAATCACATTCGGGATCTCGAAGACATCTCCACTACGGTGTCTTACAATTTCCGGAAAGCCGATCATCGTAGCATCAACAATCAATACGAAACTAACGATTTTAAATTGGCTCACTACTTGACTAGCCTATTGGTCCCAAGCAAACGATTAACGTACCCCATTCTAGTACTACACAATGTTTGTTTTGATTCACTATGAAAGTTTTACAGATAAAATAAGGGGTTAGTGGATTTTCCTATGTTTCGATGGGTGAATCGATTAGCTTGGGACCGAAGAGAGTACCAGAGCTGAGCCAAAAAGTTGAGCACGTTTCTTCGGGACCTTCTAGTCTTAGAGTTACCTCTATGGTAGCATTGCCGATGTGCAGTCAAGCATTGATTGGGAAAACATACTCGATTCTGATAACGTCGATACCGCTGCTCAAACTTTTTCACATGTCTTGGCTTATGTCATTGACAGACACGTACCTAAGAGCGTTCACCTGATTGCATCGCACCTCCCTTGGCAGACGAACGAATTGAAGAAGCTGAAATCGATCAAGAGAGCCTCGTTGAGGAAATTCACTAAATATCGAACGATGTCACTGAAACGTCACTACGTTAAGCTCAATTATCAGTTCAAGCTACTTGCATTATCTGCGAGGGATTCAAAGGAAATTCAAGTCGCACCCGAAGTCTTTCTGGAAGTACGTGAAGGAGCAGCGCAGAGAGTCCGGTCTACCATCATCCATGATATTGAACGGCGAAGTCGCTTCCACTCCACAGGAAGTCTGCCGCC